CAGTGCCAACTCCCTGCCCTGGGCAGGGACATCTCCCACCAGAACAGATTGCTCAAAACTTTATCCAACCTGGCAGTGAACACTGCCAGGGTTGGGGTCTGCCCAAAAGGAGGACAGGGGAGGGTTCAAGGTGGGCATCCTTTTGGGATCAGTTATGGAAGCACTTGGCCATTTTCCATGCCTTTTCCTCTGTCCCAGCTGTGCTCCAGCACATCCCTTGGCTCCAGGTACTGGTCCTGCACACCCTCCACACCTCCTTGGCCATAAGGGTGCCAGGGCAGGTGGCAGCTGAGCATGTTACCTGTCTCCAAACCACTCACCCTCTCTGCCTGCCAGTCCTTTTCCCTCTTCTGCAGTGCCCTGAGCCGAGCTATCTCCTTCTCCCTCTCCTGGCGGATTCTCTCCCTCTCTGCCTCCAGTGCTGCCTCTTGCTCCTGGAAGGGACAGAGCCATAGTTGGAGAATGGCTAACAGAACAAGGACATAACTCCATGGAGGTGCTGTGTCAGCAAGGAGACTCCTACCAGCCCAAACAGGAGCAGCAAAAGTCTATAGGAGCTTTGAGCACAGAACTAAATAGGCCTCAGGTATTTAGCTTCTCAGTATTAGAAGTTATTTTCTCAGCATAATGTTGCAGCCCAAGGAGAAGCTATTTGGGAAAGCTCAGCAATGTTGCAAACCTAAGGATGAACTATCCTGGGAAAACAAAGAAGGATTCTCCAGAGAATAAAGGAGACTTCTTCACAGCTGCATCCACAAGCAGACAAAGTATATAAATAGAACCTTTAGAGCTTAGGTAATGCTAATGTGAATAATATTCTCAGCATAATGTTGCAGCCCAAGGAGAAGCTATTTGGGAAAGCTCAGCAATGTTGCAAACCTAAGGATGAACTATCCTGGGAAAACAAAGAAGGATTCTCCAGAGAATAAAGGAGACTTCTTCACAGCTGCATCCACAAGCAGACAAAGTATATAAATAGAACCTTTAGAGCTTAGGTAATGCTAATGTGAATAATAGGTAGAGTTGTCCTGCAAGCTAAGAAAGTATAAAAATGTAACTTTTAGGGTTTAGGGTAAAGAGAAGAGAACAATAAGCAGAGTTATTCAGGCACTGTATAAGAGAAGGACTGAGCTAACAATAAAGTTTGAAGGCTTTTGCAGAACCTCATATTGAGTGTTTTGTGTCTTTCCTGCTCGTGAGCTCTCCACAAGCCATGGCAGCTCCTGCAGCCCTGGCAGCCACCAGGGCCCAAACCCCTCTGCTCTTACCATCTTCTGCCTCTGGTACTCCAGCACCTGCTCCTCCCTCAGCTTCTCCTGCTGCTGCTGCTCCTCCTTTATTCTCTGGTTCTCGGCATTAATTCGACGTATCTCAGCCTGAATTTTCTTCTGCTCTTCCTTTTTCTTCTCCCAGGCCTGGAAGTGACAGCATGGAAGGTTGGAGGAGTGTCAGGGTGAGATCTTTCTCCTCCTCCTCCTCCTCCTCACTAGGGGAAGGTTTGGGGTCACCTCCTAGAGATGCCACAATATCCCCCAAGAGACCAAAGCTCTGCACACCCCAAGCACTTCCAACACCTTTCCAAGCAGGTGTAAACCTCCCTCCACTCTTCCTGCTCTAGGCAGGTCATAGATCACACCTTCCACTGCTGCAGCTTCAGCTTCTCCAGCTGCTTCAGCTTCTCCACACCCTCCTGGTACTCCTGCTCAGCCTTCATTGCCTTCTCCTCTGCCTTCTCCTCCATCTGCTTTTGGATCTCCTTCCGTGCTCTGGGAATATGAGAGCAGGAAGGTTCCTTCTGGCTCTGTCCACTCCCAGTGCTTGGAATGTTGGCATGGACAGGGTTTGGGTTGCTGGGAAGGGCTGGAGACCTCCACAGGGAGAAGAGAACCTTGTGCCCACCTGATGAGCTCCTGCTTCCTGCGACATTTCAGCTCCTCCTGGATCTCAGCAGCCTTTGCCTGCTCTGCTTCCACCTTCCTCTGCAGATGCTGCTCTGCCTCTGCCAGTTCCTTCTGGATCAGCTTCTTCTCCAGGATTTGCTTGTCCCTGATCATGTGGCACTTGGCACCAAGGAGCAGCTGTGGGGACAAGAGGTGTTTGCACACTCTGAGTCCCACTGGGACACAGGGACAGAAGGAAAAGGGAAGAGGAGCAGTTGCCAATGGGGAACGTTGGCCTTACTGAGTTCAGTTGTCTTATCTCTTCCTCCTGCTCCATCCTCATCCTCCTGGTTTTCTGCAGCACCTTCTGCTTCTCCTCTTCCTGCCACTGTTGCTCCTCCAGATCCTTCTCCAGCATCATCTGATCCTCCAGCTCAGCCTTGAGTTTCTCTGCGTTCTGGGCTTGGATCAGAGCTTCCTGCAGGACAGGATTGTTGCCCAATTCTAGGGATATTCCCGAGGGCTCCATGGGGCCACACATCCCTGGGCTCCTCTGGTCCCTTCCCACACCTCTGGGCAGATATCCCATTCCCTTGGCTGGGTGGGATTGCTGTATCCAAGCAGCTTGGGATTGTTGGATACAGTCAGAGTGGAGTGGTGGATATCACTGTGGGATTCCTGGATCCAAGCAGGATGGGATCCCAGGAATCCTGCCCATCCTTCCCTATGCCAGGAACAGGAGGAGCCCTGAGCCCCCCCAAGCCACTCCTGAGCCCCAAAAAGTGGGAGGCAGAGGGATGAAGGTGGTTCCTCCAAGCAGAGCTCCAGGGATGTCCCAACCCACACGTCTCTGACCCACTTAGGACCACCCTGAGCTGCAGGTATAGTGAAATAGGGAAAGGAGAAGCATGAAAAGGGAGAGCAGGACAGGAGATGCCTACAAAAGCAGCAGCTTGTTTGTCTTTGAGGGTCACTCGTGCGGCTTCGCGTTCCTCCTGGGTCAGGACTCGAGCTGCTGCCTGGATACGCTCATATTCCTTCTTTCCCATGATGAGAGCAGGTTTGGGATGCTCTGTGGGAATTCTGGGGGGCACAGGGATACAACTCAGTGAGATGGAAGCTCCCACAGCTCCTCCCTGTGCTCCCTGATCTGCCTGAGCTCCCACTCAGCCCCCAAAAAGCCCCCAGGAGTTGCTGGGGAAGCTGTGGGGACTTGGTTGGGGGGAGGAAGGAAAGGAATTGGGGTGAGGATGGCACCAGGCTGGCACAAAAGGGGGGCAGGATGTTGGGGGGAGGCCACCAAGGCCTCCAGGAAAACCTCAGAACATTCAGCCCCAAAATAAAAATACTGGAAGAATTTCAGCCCAATTCCCAGCTCTCATATGGGAAGGTTTTGGGGAGATTTCACCTCTTTGCCAACAAGCATCACCCATTCCCACCCCACCAGCATGTCAGGGAGTCTCTGTGCCATCTCTTCTCCCTTGGGATTTGAGGATGGCACAGGCATAACCCCCCAAAACTTCTCAGAGCTGCTGCTTTTTGTTGGATTTTGGGATGATCCAGTGCCTCTGCTCTGTGTCCCCAGATCCCACATCAGGGTGTCTCTGCCCATCCCTTCTCCCTTGGGATTTGGGGATGGCACAGTGCCCCCCACTCCCATCCGTTCTCCCTTGGGATTTGAGGATGGCACAGTGCCCCCCACCACCCCCCAAACTCCTCCAGAGCTCAAGCCCAGACTCACATGATCTCCCGAGCCACATCCTTGGTTATGATCCTTGTCGTTTTCGGCTTGTTCCCGCTGGGCTGCAGCACTCCGGGAGCACTCGCTGCATCCTGAAGGATAACGAGCGGAATGCTGGAGCTGGCTCCCTTGGGATTTGAGGATGGCACAGTGCCCCCCACCACCCCCCAAACTCCTCCAGAGCTCAAGCCCAGACTCACATGATCTCCCGAGCCACATCCTTGGTTATGATCCTTGTCGTTTTCGGCTTGTTCCCGCTGGGCTGCAGCACTCCGGGAGCACTCGCTGCATCCTGAAGGATAACGAGCGGAATGCTGGAGCTGGAATACTGCAGGGACGGTCGGTTGGAAGCATCCTGACCTCTGTTCTCTCTGAGCCTGCTGATCTGCACCATTTCCACAGCAGAATTTTGTCCTTTCTGCCCGCGTTGGCCACGGCAGGACCTGAGTCTCGACGGGGACATCCTGGGACGGAGTGGGAGGAGATGTCCCTGGGAGGAACCATGGGAAGGATGCGGGACCAGGGATCCCTTGCGGGAATTCCTGGGATGATGGGGGACCAGGGACCCCTTGCGGGAATCCCTGGCAGGATGCGGGACCAGGGAGCCCTTTGACGGGCACATCCTGGGACGGAGTGGGAGGAGATGTCCCTGGGAGGAACCATGGGAAGGATGCGGGACCAGGGATCCCTTGCGGGAATTCCTGGGATGATGGGGGACCAGGGACCCCTTGCGGGAATCCCTGGCAGGATGCGGGAACAGGGAGCCCTTGCGGGAATCCTTGGGAGGATGAGGGACCAGGGATCCATTGGGGGAATCCTTGGGATGATGCACGACCGGGGACTCCTTGCGGGAATCCTTGGGAGGATGCTGGTCCTGACCCTCCAATGGGGATTCCCTGGGAAGATGCAGGACCAGGGATCCCATGCGGGAATCCATGGGAGGATGTGGGACCGGGGATTCCTTGCTGGAATCTTTGGGAGGATGTGGGACCGGGGATTCCTTGCGGGAATCTTTGGGAGGATGTGGGACCGGGGCCTCCTTGCGGGAATTCCTGGGAGCTTTGGTAGGATGTGGGACCGGGGATTCCTTGCTGGAATTTTTGGGAGGATGCTGGTCCTGCCCCCCCGATGGGGAACTTTCTGCCATCGCTCCGTGTGTTTGCGCAGACTTTGATTGTGACACAGAGTCTCGCAGCTGGCACCAAAGAGCTGGCACCCAGTGGGAGTTACTATGGTAACGTCCAACAATGGTTTCAGGGCAACGAGGGGCATTGTTGGGCGTGCGGGCTGTGCCCACCTCGGCCAGACCCCCCCAGTGCCCCTTGGGACCATGTCCCCTCGTCCAGACCCCCCAATGCCATTTT